TGTTTACAAATCTTTGCAAAGTACATAGTATATTAATTAAAAGCATGATTTCTGAAGCCAGACTGCCTGGATCCAAATCTAAACACTGCCTCTTACTGATTAATTCTCGGAGTATATTCACATTCCTCTGTGCCTCAGCTTTCTCATCTATAAAGGAGACAAGTATACTAACTTACCTCTTAAGGTTATGTGATAATTAAAGCACCTAAAGCATATAAAACACTGAAAGGAATTTAGCTCTCAAAATATGTTTGCTCTTACTATCCTTGTTGAACTTGAGGGAAAATAGATTCAAAGCTGTGTGTACAAATCGTGCAATAGCAGTGGGGTAGGTATATGAAATCACAAGAAAGCTGTCTCCATGCACTCACATCCTAAAACAACCTCATAAATGGTTCTACCCTGGGAAGAAGGAAAGACACAGGTGATTTTCTAAATCTATGAGTTGAATCTCAAGAATAAGTTTGAGTCTTGAAGGAGAGGGAAATGAGGAAGGAAATGATTTTTTTTAAATTCTTATAACTAGGCTCCACTGATCAATCTGTCTCCTTTCAAAACAAGTATATCTACAATTGGAATCAGTATCATTTTACAGTTATCACTTTTTAAACTAACATTCGAGTTCAAGGCAGAATTTAGGACTTATTAATATGTGTGTGCTCAGTGTCTGAGATAATCCTTGACACTACCAGCCTGAATAAATATATTTTTTAAAAAAGAAGAAATTGGGGGGAAAACCACTTTTATAATATCATGAAATGATAGAATTAAGATTAATGTAAATTATTCCTAATAATTCTGTAGTATATTTCATAAAATAAAAATGTTTACATTTCTAGAATGGAAAATAATGAACTGAATCAAAATAGAAATCACAAACTGTAGAACAGCTGAATCAAATATCAAGAGTGTTCATTTTACTGTACAGAGAACTCATACATTCACTGAGAAAAACCCCAGGACCCCACAGGTAATAGGCAATACACAGTTCTGAGAACAGTAACAACAACTAGCCAATAACTATGTGAAAAACTTCAAGAATATTAGAAATTAAAGAATTAGAAATTTTAAAATGTAAATTTCCAGCTGAGTACTTGACAACATTTGTTAGACAAAAAGGTCTAACAAAGGGGAAAGTGAGGTAAATTGTTACAGTTATAAAAAGGAATAACATGTAACTACTCAAATACTATTAGCATTATAAAAATGGTAACATCAGCATATTAAGTAATAAAATTATAATTCAAAAAGTCGATTTCACAATCATATCAATCATGTAAAATATATACACTAAGGAAAAAATAGTAATACATTTAGACCTAAAAGAAGCTTCAATCAGAGGTGCCTCAGAGGCTCCCCTTCCCCACCTCTCAAAAAGTAGTCTGACACTTTTTTCTCAATGAAATGCTCGTGTGCACAGACACAGGTCACTAACCTCAGGAGGAGGAAAGGAATGTGTGCCAAGAGCAGTTGTGACTCTTCTCCTCAGTCTCCCAGTCCTTTTACATCCCTCCCCACCCCTAAACCTTCCCCCAACCAGACACCTTGAAGTCCCTGCATCTGTAACCACCCTCCTTGTCAGAGTTGCCTCCCTCTTCCCTTCCCCCACAGAGCGCGGACGATGCCGGGAGCCTCCCCCCTGCCCCCTCCCCCCACATCCCCCTCCTACTCGGTCCTCGCAGACCTCGGCCCCCTTTCCCCATCACACACACTCCCCTCTAACACTCACACCGACAAAATCAGTGTCTCCCCTGCAGCACACTCTCACAGGAACCCCCTAACTTGTACTCATTCACATCCTACACTCACCTAGGATTGAGTCAGTTTTTTCTCCCTCTCTCTCACACACACTGTCTCT